AAAAATTAATAATTCCGTCGGAAATCCGTCGGAAAACCGTCGGTGACACGTGTCGTCGGAAATCCGTCGGTGACACGAGTCGTCGGAAATCCGTCGGTGCCACGGTCCGTCGGAAATCCGTCGGTGCCACGGGTCGTCGGAAATCCYTCGGAGGTTATGGCCGACGGATTTCCGACGGGTTCCTATTCCGACGGTTTTCCGACGGATTCCGATTATCCCTTTTCCGTCAGAAATCCGTCAGTTTTTCCGACGGATTACCGACGGTTTTTACTTTCCGACGAGATAGAACCGACGGATCAAAAAATTCGGAAAACCGTCGGAATAGGGCTTTTTCCGACGGAAATGGCCGTCGGAAACGGCCCTGTTTTCTTGTAGTGTAGCAATGCGGCTGGCGCTCTTCAAAATCTAGGCATCTAAAAAATCTGCCTACATTCGGACTCCCAAGTACTCGTGAATGCTGTGAACTCCAAGAACGAAATCAAGGAAATTTACGGAATTATCCATGATATTTTTAGATCAATTAATCCTTTGTTTTCCTTTATAGAATTCAGACATGTTCCTAGAGCAAAGGATAGCTTGGCTGACTCTCTATTTGGACTAGACATTTTTGAATACGCTAATTCCTAGCACAAACAACCAAAGTTAGGTTAAAGAAATGGAACTAAAATACTAACCCTAATATAAACCAAGTACGGAATATTCGTTTAACCCTAAAAGATGATATCGATATGTAACCCAACCGAGATTATATTTTATAAGAATTGAAGTTAAATATATAAAAACCAATAATTACAAGAAAATTAAAGGCTGCAACAAAGCAGAAATATAGGAAATGTATACACTAGTTCTCACTACTATAGTAAAGAGTATAACATTAGTTTTGACAATATTCTAAATTTGGGAAATTTTAAAACGAAATTTACGATAAAATAAATAATGTATCTTAAAAGTTTCATCCAACTTTTGTTTTTAATTATTTTCTTAAATTCTGTGTATCTTTAATTCTTATTCTTTCTATGAGATAAATAATTATATTAATATTTAATTATTGTTATTAATTATTTTGTGCTTTGATATAACATGTTACGCAGTGATTTATGTTAACATCGTCGGTAAATCAACTAAATTCATATCCCTATAATGCATATATATTAGTTCGTAAAAATATAATTTAGTTCTCTGATGATAATTAATATAATTATTGAAAACAAGTTGGTCAAGTTTTAGTAATGTCAAGCAAATTCATATATTTTGTTACATTCAAAAGTTTTAATAATTTTATGGATTTAGTTGTTATGATTAAAGTTAAAAGCAACGTAATTCATTATTTTGACCAATGGTTTGACCAAAGATTAATTAGAGTTCTATAGAATTTTTAATTTAGATGATTTAGTTCCGCAACTAAACCAGATATATAAGATTAAGTAACCACGAATAAAAATAAATTAGAGCACCATGGGTTAATGAGAAGATGGAGGCTGGAGAGTAACATGTAAAAATAAGTAAAAATATCACAGGAAAAAAGAAAATATATTTCCATTTATTTCATAAGGTAGCAATTTTTTATGTTTCTGTATTTTTATTTAAAATTAAGTTTGATTCATGCACTTTACCCTGAACATACAGAAATTTGGAAGGGAAAAAAAATTCCTTTTAGTTTATAAGAATTTTGATTCATGCATTACCCTTCCACTTATAGAATTTAGAAAAATAAATGATTTAATTTAAATTAATTTTGATTATTTTTTGAAAAAATAATTTATTTTATATTAAAAGTATAGCTTCAGACTATAAATTTCATTGTTTCATGAAGGAGAATTTGTGAAACCTAAAAAGAAAACCAATTGGCCGCCATATAGCTATAATAAACACAAAGGTATGTGCGCTTCTATCTTTATAGATCTGAAAAGATTTGTGTTGTTATGATTGATGATTCGAACTCTGAATTTATACCTCCAATTAGTCTCATACATAATTTTTCTTTGTTTTGCTATCAAGATATTTGTTCATTTATATTATACACATGTAAACAGGTACAACAAACCAAACATATATATCTGAAATGTAACCACACTCTTTTGTCGTAATATTTGATTATATATGCTGGATAAGAAACCATTGCACACTATCAGATATTAACACTACAATCACTGAAGAAATAGATCTAAGAAAATATAATACTCAATCTTATCCGTATAAACTTTGAAAATGATTTACTTTATATTACGATAATAATTGGTTTCCTTGAAAAGTACTTATGGGTTTGTTGAAGGGTTTTATTTAATTTTAAACTTGAAAATTTCAATTTTCGCCATCAAATTCTATATAAAGAGTCTCTATATTAAAACATTTCATTTTGTCTAAAGTTTAATTTGTTAATAAACGGATTAACCATTTGTGGAAATAACATATTTCATATTTATCATGTATAAACAAATGAAGCTAACCAGAAAAACTATATGTAACATGTTTTTTAAAACTATTGAATACGAACGGT